AATGGTACTTGTGATGAAAACTGAAGCAATAATATACATGAAATAAAGGAATATAAAGCATATAGTGTTCAGTAAATTGTTTCAAGATGAAATGTTATATTTCTTCATTCAATTCTTACATTACTTTTATGATGGAAATTAAAGTATAATAGTTTTAATTACCATATCTTATGAAAAAGGGCATTGTATACATGATTACATTCGCCCAAAACCATTTACTTCCAAACTAAATCTACCTTGAGTTTCTTTATTTTCTTGACTTTTATAATCTTTGTATTTTTTTAAAGCTCCCTTTTCCAGCTGATTTCGTGGTGTTTGTAGCAAGGCATACTTTGCTGACAGAGCCTTGTTTAATCCATCTATAACTCTATTTACTGTTTCACAGTTCAATCTTCCTTTCATGTACCTAAAAAAATAAATTATACATTTTTTTAAACTAGTCTTTTAAAAAAAAATTATTAAACACTAATAACAGTAATTGAGAAGTTAGTGAAGTGTTAACATTAATGTTGGTTACTGTGAATATTCAGATATTAAATCGATTAGCCATGAAACTGTACAACTAAGTTTATTTGTATATTACTGTTACGACAGCGGGGGTCACGTGACGCTAGTAACACGTCATGAACTTCTAGAAGGATCCTATCCCTTCCTGAAGGCTCAAGAGGCTACTAGATATGCAGTAGTCTTGTATATATATAATCCGCCAAGAACTGACGGCAACAATGTAGTGTAATTGAACTGCGGACAGAGAGAGACGTATTGTTGATTCGAGCACGTGAGATGTTCGTTGTGAATTATAGCGTTTGTTATAGTGTGACTGTGGAAATTAAGTGTATTGCAAAGTTGTATTCAGAAATAATAAACCAGTTTTATTTAAGAAAGGACTTGTGTCGCTAAAGTTTCATCGGAACGAAATTATACGGGAAACAAACTAACGAATGGAGGCGTAACATTACTAATAACATTGAAGGACAACAAATGTTTATCAAGCTTTATCTTAAAATTTCTTAAATTAACTGCATCTACCATACTTTATGACAATGAGTTTTGTGTACAGGATTATTTAAGTCATAAGTTACAAAACCATTTGATTTGTTTTTCAATTTCATTCAATTCATAAAATTAAATGTAATACCCTCAATATAAAAACAAAATATTCAAGTGGTCAACATTCATTTGCAAATACATGTCTTCACCACACAATCCAAACATGACCAATTTTGACTCCAAAAACATCATGCTTGGGACCTGCAAAAAGTTTACATTTTAGCAAATCCAATGTAGGTTGATTGACATACACATGAATAGTTCATGAAAACCCCAGATTGTACTTTCCTTGCTGAAAAATTGAAACAAACATTCTAAAATTGTCTATCTCTCTCTCATTGGGGCCTACAAAAAGTATCTTTATCAAATTTGATGCAAGTTGGTTGAAACAAGGATAAATAATTGACAAAACCCCTAAAATTATAGGTTTACTTAACCTTTTGACTCCCCTAAAATGACCAAAAATGGGTAATATCCCATATTTTTTGTAAGTATATGTATGGGACCTTTAAAAATGTATCTTTGTACCAAATCTCGCATAAATTAGCCAACATACAGAGGATAAATCGTCAAAAATCCCTAAAATTATGCTGACCACCCTATAATTAGTAAAAATGGGCAAATTCACCATTAATGTGTTTGACCCTACAAAATCATTAAAAAGGCTTAAACCTAAAAAATAAAAATAGTCTGGGTATACTGGCTCAAGGTATAACCCTATCAAAATTCAAGTAAATCCACCAAAAAATAAAGAAATGGTAGTCAATTGAAAAGTGTTTTAAAGAAGAAAGAAAGAAGAAACAATAGAAAAACTATGTATCTCTGCAGAGATATAAATAGTATAAAAATTATAAAATCTCATAAAATAAAAGATTCAGAAGGTTACTTAAGTATGGATAATAAATAATTACTAAACAACAAACAGATTAATTAAGAAATTGCATAATTAGATCTTGTGTACTTTAATAACATAACCTAATATTTAGGGAAAATAAGGGACTCAGCTGTCCCATCCTCTATATAAAACTATTAAATAAATAAGTTAAAAAAATATTAAAGTCAGCCCTTATTATTCATGTAGTTATCAAGCTTTCTCTTAAACGCACTTAAATTTACTGCTTCCACAACATCAAAAAGTGACCCATCACAGAGACCTAACCACCCTTTTAGAAAATAAAACTGTCTGAGCTGAAAATGACTCCTACCCTGCCAAAACTTATATTTGTGTCTCCTAGTTCTACTGGTCATTAATTATGGAAACAAATGATGCATCAACACTATCAATTCCCTTTACAATCTTAAACACCTCCATCAGATCCCCTCTAACTCTTCTTTTTTTCAAGAGAAAACAATTTCAGAGATCTTAAATCGCCTCATATAACCCCTCCATCTCAGGCACCATTCCAGTAACCCTTTTCTGAACCCTTTCCAAAATTCAATGTTCTTACCAAGATTGAACACAATACTCCAAACATGGCCTAACCAATGACCTATACAATGAAATTATAACATATTTATACTTGTATTCAATATTTCTGTAGATACAACCTAAAATCCTATTTCCCTAACACTAGCAACAGTACACTGCTTGGATGGCTTAAGAGACTGATCAACCATTACACCAAGATCCCATTCTTTCATGACACTGTAAAGGTTATTCCTATCCAAATTATACTTGCAATTCAAATTATGATAACCAACATGCATTATCTTGCATGTATTATAATTAAAATCCATCTACTTTTTATTTGCCCAACTCACTAAATGATCTAAATACTTCTGCAAATCAGCAGCATCCTCTTCACAGTTAGCAACACCCAAGATCTTAATATAATCAGCAAACTTAAGTAATTTATTTACCTTTCCTTCATATATGTGATTGATGTAAATGAAAAAGAGCAAAGGTTCTAAGACTGAGCCCTGACCTCACATGGTATTAATCCAATTTGACTGAATTCCATTTATAACAAACCTCTGCTTTCCTCCATCCAGCCATTCTTCTATACATTTTGCTAACTTATCCCCCACACCTATAATTTTTTTACAAGCCTTTTATGTGGCTCCTCTTCAAATGCTTTCTGAAAATCCAGATACACCAAATCCACACCCATATCCTTATCTACATAAGCAGTAACCTTTTCAAAGAATGTCAAAAGATTTGTAAGGCAAGATTTTACCTTAGTAAATCCACGTTGTCTATCCAATAAAATTCTAACTTATAAGCATCTTTTACCAGATTTCCAAAACTAATAGGCTTATAATTACTATAATTACTGGGATAATTAGATTACCTCCCTTGAAAAGAGGAGTAACATTAGCTAACTTTCAATCCTTAGCACCTTTATACTTTATATTAAAATTTAATATTTTAATATTATTTTCCAATTAAGACACTTTTTATATTTTATTTTATGTATGCATAGACTATAAATAGACTTCCTGGTTCCTCTATACCAGTTACCTATTTCTTTAATATGTACTTCATATTTATATTTGGAATATTATAAAATTTTAGTGCTTGATATAAGTAACTTCTAAGTTCTTCTTTGTTTACTTTAGGAAGTTTTAAATTTCCATGTTCATCAGCTCTTGTTTGATATGTTGAATTTTTTTTTTGTCAGTGTTGAATATCTTTACTGTAATGTTGTTTAAGTGTGTAACTTATACAGCAGTAAGATATTTAAATTCTGAGAAAATAATTTACTATGGTCATACTGTGATAATAACATAGATCTGGTATTTTTTGTAATTATTTAAACTCAAATTTGTTAGGTAGATACTTCTCCAGCAGGTGATACCAAGCATGACAAACATTTTTCATTCCATTCAATCCTGAGAGAGAGAGGAGGTAGCCAGGCTAAATACCAGCTAAAATAGAAAGATTCAAGCATGCTTTCTTGGTTTAGCTCTCCATTAGCCAATGTACTGAGAGGACCTGCTTTCGTTTTTTTGGAGGATCATCCTAAGAGCCGAGCTTCCCCCAGACCCCAGAGTTTGAGGGTCCAAAGAAAAAGTTAGGGTTCTTTTGCCAAGTGATACAGCTCCAGATTCCAAAAGAGTAATGCCAGTTTGTGTTTTATGATGCCACAAGGAGAGACACTGTGATTTGATATCATATGATGATATATTTCGTCTAAACTTACTTTTTGTATAAGCAGGTGAAAGCACTTAATTTTTTCTCACCTGGAAAACTGAATGTTGTGTATCAGATATGGCAAGGCAAAGATTGAATAATTACTGAATAGTCTACCTATAGATTTATAAACACTGCTGCATTTCTACCTGTATTTCAAGGAGCAAGGTTATCATGTTAAGATTAGAGAACAGAAAGAACTTGAAGCTCATAAACCAAACTCACTGATTATTTTAATGATAGGAATAGCAGATTAATAAATAAGAAAGAGGATAGGTTAATAAATAAAGACATGTAGCATGGTTGATAAAAAATAAATTTACATTGTTGCCCTCTTGAAGGCCACTGTTCTTTGATACCACTTTAACCAATTAGAATGAATCATGGGTTTGTGTGCTATAAAGTCAGAAATGAGACCAATTCTATTGAGACCAGAAGTTGATAATAAACAAAGTTATTTGGTAATGGAATTTTGATGTGTGTACTTTAGAATCCCTCATAAACATTGCAGCCAGAAATGATATTGACACTGATGATTCTTAAGATCCATAATCAGATTTAATAATGATAAATAAATATCCATTTACTTGGTGTAATGTCTGAAAGGAAATATGTGTTTGATGCACATGTATGAGAAAATTCTTATGCACTCCAAAGAATATGTTGGGGGTCACACACGCACTTGCATTAATTGAAGCTCTTAGGGGTATTCAACATGTTTTAAGTTATTTTACATTCTTATTATCTAGTTAATATATTAAATAACTACACATTGAACTAGTAAGGAAAGTGGTAAAATTGTATAGTAACTTACTTGGGTACACCGCTAAATTCGTCAGGTGTTATGTGATATACATTAGGTACTTGAAGAATGGGTTTTTTTTTGGTTTAACTCCTAATGCTTCTTCCTTGGGTATCTGATCTTTAACCTTCTCCATTTCCAATCTGTATAAATGACACACAACGTGTAATTTATTTTATATTTTTTTAACATGAAGTAAATTTTGAAGCAAGTTAAATAGTAATTTATACTGTGCAACTTTACAAGTATGTAGCTTATTTCAGAAACAGCCTAAAGACTTAGTAATACTGTTACAACCAGAAAAAGTCGTTAAATTAATGTAATTATTTACTACTGGACAAATGCACTTATAAATCATATAAACAAAGTAATGAGCAACAAAACAATATGCTTGAACATTTCACTAAATTTCAATTTGTTTTTTAGCTTCTAAAATATTGTGTATTTTAGAGGTGTCACATATAATACATCTCAGTGGTTGCTTGTATACGTATTCCAAATAAAATTAACCTCAATGCTTAAAATTTGAAAACTTATGCTCAATAAAAAAATAAACCACTGAATTAATTTACATGTGCTAGACAAAAAAAAACCTGCTCAAAGATAAGTCAATTCCTTCCCAAATGGGCTGATAAATTTGTTATTCTAGTGATCTGTATTATTTAAATATATGTAAGATTTATTCTTATAATCAACATGGGAAAGAAGTGACAGTTTGTAGAAGCCCGATTATTAAATAAATAAATTAATTGCACTAGTCTTTGGTTTTGCAAAAAGAAAATATCAAAGTTTATGCCACCATGGCAATTACTTCATAAGTGTCATCAAGTAAACGCAGCAGTAATTAAAAAAATAATTGTGAGTGAATGAGATTGCTGTGCTTAATGTCAAATTGTTTCCTTAAGAAATGGAGTCTAGTTCCTCAGCATGCCTATCAGGAACTTGCCTGTGCTCTATTACGAAAAAAATGAAGTACTTCTAATGGCTAAAAGTGCAACCACAAGTTATTAAGCCTCTTACACTGGGTGTTATAACTTTTTTTGTTGGAAAGGGTTCAGAGAAAGGTTACTAGAATGGTGCCTGGGATGGAGGGATTGTCATACGAGGAGAGGCTGAAATCT